CAGGAACAGAGTTTAAAACCTTAACGGGACCAGGCGCTTCCAGGTCCCGGACTCGCACTCGCACGATATGGAAATCAGATGCAGAGTCCGGATGAGCGTCAGCGCCTGGCTTTTAAGGTGGGCTGGGAATGGGAAAAAGGTGCACAGAATAAAGTCTTTAGTGAAAGGGCTGGAGCACCCTTAAGGAGGGAGGACTATAATCGTGACACCCCTACCCCCTAGATAACCTGATTTAATGTGTAATACAAAGACATGAGATACTGTATATTTGGATTATTTCCTTCAAAATCCTTGTGTAAATAACTACGTGAGCCCTTAGTTAATTGACTTCATCAGATTTTATGAATTGTATTAATTTTGTCCCATTCTTCCTTAGAGACGTGCATCAAGTTGGTTACATTTGGGGTTTTCAAAGCCTAAAAAGCTCTCTTCAGGTCCTAACATAACACTTCAGTGGAGTTATGTCTGAACTTGGGCTTGATCAATTTCTTCACTCTTCTGCTAAATGTATTTTTCTTCAGCCACTCTGTTGAAGACTTACCATGGTCTTGAAAATGTTCTATTTCTAGATTAATGACAGTGGAGCACCAAAGTATAGGAGAAGATTTTGCAACCCTCTCTAGACTGATGAGGCTAAACTACTCTTTTTTATGAGGTCCTGTGAAATCTCTTCTGATTGCTGCTTAATTGTTTCCATTATCCTGTATGGTGAGGACCAACCTCACAAAGGTTCTGACCATTACACAGGACAGAGCTGCAAAAACTCAGTCCTGGTTCACTTTGTACTGAATTAATTAACCACCTTAATTGTGTTAAATAAACTAGTTCACTTCTTATTTTACAAACACTGATTCTTATTTTTTTATTTTTTTCTACTTAATATATCATATTGTCTCATAAAACATAAAACTGGTAAATAGAAACCCTTTAGCTAATTTAAGAAAAAAAATGTAATTTATATTGAAGGTTCTTAAGTTTTTTTTTTTCATCCTTGAGACATATGTCAAGCACAAAGACATCTGCAAAGCAAACAACTCAACTGATCCTCCTGGTTCATAAATTTGCTTTTTCGTTCTTTATTTTCACCTTCATATTGTTTGGCTTGCTGCTGTCTTGCACAATGGCAGGTTGTCTGTTTCTAACCCCATATATTTGCTTCTCTCTCAGTTCAGCACCTGCTGTGTTACTGGATGTATTAAATATCATTTGGATGCAGCGCCTCTTTTTACCAATAGCCTTTATTTGTATAGAATACTCTATTA